CCCACCCCCCCCCCCCCCCCCCACCCACAGCCACAAGTTGTCCCCAGATGTACACTTGTCCTTTGTGCTAAAAATTAATAAAGTAATAATAATAATGATAAAAATGTAAATAGCTAACTTTGTCTCATATTTGATTTCAGATTATCTGTGTCAGCAGTTGTAATGTCATATCTACAGAATCCACAGCCAATGGCTGCAACATGGTAGCATGTGGACAGTATTAAAAAAGTCAGTCACCTCAATAAACATTTCAACAGTGAATGTGATTCCGCATGTATGTTATCATTTGTTAGAACCTTAAGTGTTTTTATGAAGTTGTGAATTTCAAAGTATCATTGGCCAATTCAGGGCTCCAAGTGAACTTTTAAGTGCACTTGCAAAGTTTTGCCAGTAAGATTTTTTTCCACCAGAAAACTGGTGAGACCATTACTTCCCTTTGTTTGGGAGTCATGGATGATTCTAATTCGCAAACGTTTGCTAGTGGACATTTTTTTCACTTGCAGATTATCAAAATCTCTCGCATTTTGTGAGCTTGTGAACATTAATTTCGAGCCTTGCAAGTTCTGATTATACCCTGCAAGCAGTGGTTTCTCTGGAGAAACCACTGCTTGCAGGGTATTCTGATTGTTGAATTAGCTTACATGTTATTGTCGTCAAGGTAGAGTGCAAGAATACAAGTTAAGTTATTCATTGTCAGTCTATACTTGTCGATTATTGTTCACAGAATTTATTGAACTACATGTGAAACAAACATCGTATACAAAATAATGTTTGCATGTCTTCGTTTTTTTCCTGAAGTGTTGTATGGGCCCATATGTACAAACACCTTTTCATTTGTGCTACGTTTGTTATCTCGTCCTTGCAATATTTAATAGTTAAACTGAATCATAATTATCTAGCACTGGATTGTGTGATTGCAGTCTGCAATTTTGCATCCTCTTGTAAACTGCTATTGCTTTGCCTATGATCACACACACACAGAAAGTCTAGACAGTCTTTCATCTCTGTCCTCGATTGCATCAAAGATTGATCACAGCAGAAGTGTTGAAACACAAACTGAAGTTTTTATTCAATATCAGTTTCTTTCCTAATGTTGTTATCAGTAACGGAAGTCTTTATCTTATTCTACGTCTTCTCATTCGCTAAGAGCCTTTTCACCCTAAACTAGGGAAGTAATTTTTAAAGTTATACATTGTGTACTTTCCTTTCGTTATTGCCGCTCCCCGTATTCACCATTTTTCTTTTTATGCCCTAGGCATTACAGCTGTCCCTAGATTTTGGGAAGTATACAAGGTGTCGTACATGTATATGGGCAACGTGAAAATCGTGGATTTTATATTACTCAGTTTTGACCTCTCTCTGATGCGATTACAAAACAACACAAAATCGACCTTGGAGGGCAATAAGCGTAAAAGGAACCAGACTAAACGGCGCCCTGTTTTCGTAAACAAGGTGTACATGTATTATGGGTAATGTGAAAAAGAGAGTCAAAAAGAAAAAAAAAAATCACCAAGGCCTCTTTTCATAAACTTGTGTTTCATACTGCGGTAGTTCAATAAATGTTATTAAATTATATTACTACAAAACAAATAAACATGGTAATTAAATGTTCTTGACTAATATACTTCAGGTTACATGTATGTTATTAAAAACATTCGGTATCATTAAAAGTGATGGAGTCGAGGAAAATTGAACAGGTCTTAATTTATTATTTATACACATAGAATTCTTAAATTCTAGTTGAATTTTAGGATGAACCTGTAAGTCTTCCTTTCCTTTTCTTTCTCCTGAAATTATATTCTGGTAGTGCTTTTCTTTTTGCTGTTGGTTGAACAAAAAATTATTATATTACGATAAACTTGAAATCATATCATGTTAAACTTGACACTACATGTGGTCTTCATCAATTTTTGCGACAAATCTGAGTCGCGAAACAATCTTTTGCCATATTGTTTACATCTCCTATCGGTTCTTTCTAACTGGTAGACATTCCGTCTTGAAAGAATAAGATTTGATAATTTGCAAATCGCGAAATAAACTTATAACAATAAGTAAAAAGCTGTTCCTTTTTTAAAAAAAAAAAAATATTATAACGATCTGACTGCATTTAAAAATTAGCAATTTGGCCCTTCTCTTTCATAGATCAAACATTTTTTTTGCTGATCATATCTTATTCCTTTTTCTCTTGTTTGATTTTTCGCGAATTTTTTCTGTTCAGTTTTGTTTCGTGTAATTACTGATATCGACTTATTAAATTTAGCAGATGATTGAAATACAGCGTAATTGCAAGCTTCATCATGGGGTACGCCAAAAACAATGCCTCTTCTTTTCCTTTTTTTAGATGGGTGATTTAAAATGTTTCTTTTTTTTTCTAAACCAATATTTTTTTAATACGCCAGTTTCTTGTATTTCGTAAATTATTATCGTTCTTTCCTTAGCCTCCGTCACGGTTTTCCAGGATCCTCAAAGATGGTATTTCTTGAAAGCTTTCACTTCATACAAGACGTAAATGATAAAGCGTTTGACCATTTAGTTGGGCTGTCAAGCTGCCGATTTCTTTGGCTAACTTCTGAATTGAAATTACAGAGCTGTGTCGAAAATTTCCTTTTCGTAAGCTACCCCAGTTTCTTGGAAACCATTTTGCTTAATTTCGCTTTCGTCTTTTTTTCCATCTTGGCACCGTTTTTCCGAAAAGTTACATAAATTTTTGCGAAAAGGAGGAAGCGACTTCTTGAACGCGGCTCTGAACTCAGGCATTCTGATCATATACACCCAGGGATCAGAAATTGCGCTCCAATACGAAACAACAGCTATGCAAATCCACACTTTTCTCACAGTGGGGCTTACGCATAATTCTATCTCATGTGTAAGCAATTGGATGAAGTTGAAAATAATAACCGGTGCAAACAGAACAAAGAACAATACTGTTATCATTCCAAATGTTAAGGCTGTCTTTCTTTGTCGTTTGTTTTCAGATTCTTGTTGAGCATCGATGATGTTCACTCGAGCCGGGAAAGTAGCTTTCGATGCCCTGTAAATGCCAAAATAGCAAAATGCTATTATGCACAAGGGAATTAGTACGACCACGATTGGTCCATAAATCCATACTTTTGGTAAATATTCTTGGGGAATAAGGTATACCACCAACGCGCTTAAAAACGATAAAAGCCACGCGAAACCAATTAGTGTCAAACACTTCTTGGAGCTCATTTTGGTATAGTAGTGCAATGGCGACGTTATCGCAACGTATCTATCCAACGCCACATTGACCAAGTTATATGTCGTAACCATGGTTGTGAGACACCACATCGTACTTTCCGTTTTCCAAAAGGCTGTACCGTTTCCGTGGCTATAATGATTTAAAATCAGCCACGCGGACAAAAATGAGTTTCCAATTACTGTAGAGAAGAGCTCTCCGGCGGCGAGGGAGATCATAAAATACCGTGACGTCTTACGTAACGAAGTAATCTTTTGCACGGATGAAAGAACTGCCGTATTTTCTAGAATGGCCAAAAGAGCAGAAAGGCAACAAATTGACGTTACAGTGGCTGTAAAACTCAGGGACAGATTGTAGAGTGGACACGACATTATTGAAAGAGCCCCGCAATCACCTTACAAGTCAGCTACTGGTCAATTTTGAAGTTGTTTCCTTTTTCAATTTACTTTTTTTTTTGCCCCTTGGATGTTGTATGGCTGACAGCTAAACCATTATTAAATGGAAAAAAAACAACAACAACAACATTAATTAAAAATGCTTCATATGGCCAACGAATAACAATGAAATTCAAATTTACTAACTTCAATTTTAGCCGAGTCAGCGACGCCAGATGACTTGAGGCCCTCAAGTCATCTGGCGTCGCTGACTCGGTCTTAAGGGTTTCAGAATGTTAAATTTTATTTTCAGAAAACTTATGCTAAACGGTGCCAACGTCAAATAAGCATTTTATCACATGTACGACCAGCTGATGTACTGTAAGGTAGCGGTAAATTTAATGAAGAGATGTGTAGGTCTAATAGACCTTTTTACCGATACGGCGGCCATATTGAATTAATTCGATTTGAGGAGTATTATAGGATGCCCAGGGGGCATGAGCACATTTCGTTTGTATTTTCGAGCGCTTTTCGGGACATTTTGTCTTAAAGTTTTCTTAGTATAAGATTGTAATGGGAAAAAAGACCCTTCTGCCGTGTTTGGATGTATTAATGATCGCCTTTTTCTAGTTCAGTATTAGAAATATAATCTTTAACTGTATATTTCTCGGAAAAAAGGCGATCATTATTACATCAAAACATGGCACAGCCCTTTTATGAATAGTACCCTGCAACACTAATGTGAGAAAATTCAGTTTTTCAGTTTCAGTTTTCCATTATGTTTCCTACACAACTCGTACCTTATTGTTTGTATTCGTGTCTGGTTCTTGTGTGTTATTGTAGCATGGTTTTTTTTTTAAATTAGCAATTTGCTGGTTAGCAGTACCTTACCCTGACTGTGTTAAGACGAGGGGACTTGTATGCAAAAGCAAATACGCTACAAATGTGATATATGGGCTGATGAAATTGACTGCGTTGTCTGGGTTAGAACGTCGATCTTTTCATGTACTTACTTATTCAAGGGATTAGAGTCAGTTCATGAAGAGTTAGACTTTTAAACTGGGTCTCAATAACACAGGGTGCATAGGTCGTAACGACAATACGCAATATTTCCGGTAATTAATTTTGATCTTATAAGTAAATACTCGCCGCAGTATAGTACATTTTATTATATGTGCTACGTTCCCATCAGTTTCTGGAAGTCTCCAACCCACCCCAACCCCCACCCCCACCACCTCCTCCCACTGCTCCAACCTTGATTGGCACACACGCGTGGGTGTGATTTTTGCCGTGTTACAATGTCGTAAAAAGAATAAGAATAGTTCAATAGGTAGCCTGTAATTGTTCTTTCTAAGTATTTTCCGCTGTTGCCTTATCTGGCAAGATATTATGAGTACTAAGGATTGCTGACGATTTAGCACTTCCCAAAACAGACTCAACCTCGCATACCAGGCATTTGCTTTCTTCGAGATAGTTCCAAGTGCACCAATCACGATGGGTATTACTGTCACGCTCGTGGCTCCGTGGATTGTGAATTATATTGATCATCATCTTCATCACCATCATCATCATCATCATCATCATCATCATTATCATTATCATTATCATTATCATTATCATTATCGTCATCGTTATTATTATTATTATTATTATTTGTATTTTTAATTTATCATTATTCTGTTTCCTAAAATGTAGCTTAATGCAAACACACACAAAATACCGCCACCAATTTCCCCCTTGGTGTTCGTATTAACTGGGTTCCACTGTACAAGGGGAAATGAGATTGACTGCGCCGTCTGGGTTATTTTTGCTGTCACGAAATATTTTGTTTAATTTATAGGAACAATCGCCTTGTGCGTTGGTTTTACAGAAAGAAATTGTGTATTTGTTTCTTTGCTCTATCGTATTTTAGCGCAATCTCCACTGAGCATATGCTTCAGTTCGCTTCCGAGAAAAAGATACGCCCTTCCCTTCATAAGAGCTGAGGAAAATCCTCCGACTTGATGTGATAACGTCATTCTCCCGGCACTGTAACTGTTTAAAATCGATGGTTTTACACTGACGTGGTCCTCATGTCCCTTTCTCCCCTTAAGCGCCATTAACGTGGGGTATCTGTGGAGAATTATGCTGTCGAGCTTTTTTACTTTGTGACGGAAGTCTCTTCCACTAAAATTAAGCGACTTCAAAATGCCTGGACTTCATGGGAACTTTCCCCTCTTCATTTCGGCATCTTTTGGAAAACTTAGCCCATACAGTGATAATCACGATGACGTCACCTATTGATATTAATGTGCCAACGAGAAGCGCATTGGTTCTTGAAACAAAGATTACTTTGTTTCACTTGTCACAATTGTGAATGTCAAAAAGAATAATTGTTAACGGTTATACACCTAATTGCAATAAGGTTGTCAAAGCAAAAAGCAAAAACTTAAATAGGAATTAATTAGCATGTAATAATCATGGCTTGCAACATTCACAGCACACATGCTTATAGCTGAATATTAATCACATAATATAAGAGAAATCATTTGCATCAGTTTCTTGCTGTCATTCTAATGCAATTTGAGGCTGATTCATCTAGCGAATTTTAAACGTGCTCAAATTACAAACGTACATCGGATAACTACTAAAGAAATGATGGCTCCATTTTTTTCAATAAATAAGGCCTGGCGTAAATTCCAGGAAAACGATGCGTCTTTTAATTTAGTGCTAAATAGAAAGGCCAACCTGCGTATGGTATGCAGTGCACAACACCATCTGATCACAATTTTCAAGCAACAAATCAAGGGCGTAGGCAGGACTTTTCATCGCGGAGAGGGTGAGGGGGTACTCCGTCAGTTCCTCTCCCGCGCCACAAACCAAGCTTCATTTGTCAGGACATAATAGATTGGCGACTGAAAGTGCGACAACTGAGACATAACATTGCTTGCGTCAATTTACCTTTTACTTTTTCGAATTGTGCGAATTCTGTTGATGGAGAATGTTGGCTCGAAAATGACAATGGCGCATGTCTATCTTACAGCGCGGAATTACAGAATTATCTCTTGTTATTGTGAATAACTTCTTGAATAATTGTTAAATTAGTAAAATACACAAATGTAAATCACATGACTAATTAATTCCTATTTGGTTTTTTGCTTTTTCCTTTTTTCTATGACAACGTTATTGCAATTAGGTGTATCTCCTATAGCAACTCGCTTGTACGACAGGAAAGGTCGTCACTTCTCCGTAGGACCGGAATCAATCCATTCACCTTAATATTAACTGGTACGCAGCAGTAAATAACGCAAACTTGGTTCCAACAGCGTTTATTCTTTTATACATAATCTTAATGCCCTCTCAGGTGTTATTCACGTACGCAATGTAATCGATAACTGAAAAATCATAGTATAGACAACAGAATAGTTTCAACTGTAGTTTGCCTTTATATGATTCGATTGACCACATAGCATGACCATTGAGAACTAAAATAATGAACTGTAAAAATGGAAAGAGAAATCATTAAAGCTACACTTAACTTACATAAAAAATGAATTTTTGGATCGCCTTATTTTGCTTTATTGTAAGAAGAAGTACGGCTTCAGTTATATAAATTGTTGCGGCTGTGATTTCAAAGAACTACATGATTACCTGCCAGGGGTATTTTGCAATTAAAATCGTTTTACATCTGCTGGTAAGGCTTTACAACAAAACGATACTGAATTATTATCGAGTTAGATGGCGGTCAATATTCTAAAGTAAAACGTGTAAAATAAAATATTCTGTGCGTTCATCAAATACACCGTTGGCTTTTTCATGCTCTTAACAACACAAAGACAGTAACTACACTGAAAGCTAAAAAAATTTCACAAGTTCTAACTCCCTTTTTGCCTCGAAAAATGAATTAGTCTCATAAAGTTTCAAGATGACTAAAATATTCCTTTCGCCCCATGTAAAGAAATTCGGATTCTTCAATCTGAAAATTTTGCTCGTGGAAGCTGGAATTCTGGACGATGGGATCCGGAATTCCGCTGACAAAATCTGGAACCACGCTGAAACAATCTAGCATCCCACTAACTAATGGAATCCGGAGTCCCGAGAAAGCATCCGGAATCCAGTACCTGGAATCCAGAACCCACAGCGTCAAACCCAGAATCCAAGACTATTTCGGGTTGTCTTACACGACTAGAATTGCTTCGCTAGCCTGTGACAAATCGCTGCTATAGCTAGGGGTGCAACTACCTGTAGTCGAAAATAGAAAAAAATGAAGGAAAACAAAGCAAAGGAACCAAATTTAACCTTGGATAGCTGAAAGACAGTACATTCACATATGTCGGTAACTTCCCTTTAACTTCTTTCCCCCAGATAAAAGAAGTGTCATGGTTGTCAAAAAAAGCTGTTCGACCAGGAAAAACGAAACCGTATAAAACCGCTGGTGTGTACAGCCGCCCCTTCCCATCGTATTTGTTTGAGGGGAGGGACACTCTGTACACATGAGTGACTGAAAATGAAAGAATACGAATTCCAGGGGTAAGCCACTATACCTGCGTGAAAGACGTCTCCCTATTTCTATGTTGCACGCGGAAAATAGTGCGTGCACGCGAGATAAACCCACTGGAACTTAACTAATAAACTTTATTAAACTTCTATCATACCAAGCCATTAAGGAATGGGACGTCTTGCAAAGAGGTCTTTCGATCCCCGAGGCATTCAGCCATATCGTAGAGGTTTAGTGTTGTAAAGCAGTAGAAACGTTCTCTAGCATGGTCTTTCACATCAGAAGGACAATGTAAAAGCAGCTAAAGCTCTAAAAAGAACAAAGAGGTTGATGTGGATCGGCTACAACCATCAACCACAGATAAGACTGAAAGACAAATTTCTGAAGCCAGTACAGTCAGTGGTAAAAATTAGAATTTAAAGTCGCCAGTAAACGTGCCAATTGTAAGAGAAAAGGAGCTTAAAGGAGGTTTTAATTAGTCTAGTGCATATAGCATGAACTGCTCAAATCAACACAGTCATGCAGTTCACCGGTAATATCGTAGACTGAGTTGCAATAAGTAATGACCATGAGTGTTCCAAGTAGTTTATGGCCTTAGCATGGTGTAAGCTACGTCCTAGGTCGGGAGTTTTGTAATCGGTGTGAGAGATTTTTTTAGCTTTCTTAACAATAGAATCTAAGACTACACTAACAACATTGTTCTTATTCAAGCCCTGCATGCTGCGTTAAATGTTTTGTCCTTTTTCGAAGGATTAAGCCTTTATTTCAACCATTGGGCTAAAGAATTGATCAAAATCAAATTCAAGAATGCGAAAGAGTTGAAATAATGCTGACCTCCTCCTCCGCATGTGCTTTGCTGTTTTTCACCCTGGGTTTTCCTGTCTAGTGGTACATGCTTGTTATCTTTCTTTCTAGGCCCTGCCCTCTGCTCAGTGCGTGTGAAGGTATCCTGGCCAAACATCGTCGACTTCCAGGTGTTTAAGCACGTGTCAACCTTGGCTCTCAGCAACCAGGCGGTTTCCACGATCTCTGTCTTGTTTTCTCCGTCGATGAAGCACTGCGCAAGCCACCCAGTCACAGATTCGCCACCTTTCCAGACAACCATTAATGGCAGAGTGCTGCTAGGGCCACCAACTTGTCCGATCCCCAACACCTTCGAGAAGCTCTTCCCAGCTGAGCCTGGTTTTCGCTCAACACCAGTACGGTACTCTCCCTCAATGATGCCATCATTTTTCTGGTTTAAGATTGTCTCGGAGCCCAGCTGATTATACCAGGTACCACTTATACTGCAAGGTTTAGATTTTACACCAGTGTCCCAGATCTTGATGTTTGTTCGGACAGTCGGAGGTGACACTGAGCTGGATTCATATGAGTTTGCAGAGTTTTGTTGCTCCAATCGTGAGAAAGTGTCTTTCCCAATTCTGGTTGATTTCGAAATTTCTTTCCGTGAACCCACAGTGAATCGCTCTAACCAGGAGGTGAAAATTTGTTCATGCCCATCAACGCACACCAAACACTGAGCTGTCCACACAGTTGTCGAAGTACCGTTTTGCCAGACTATTGCAAATCCAAAGACGCTTTCGGTGTTGTCATGATTAAAAGGTGCAGTACCTATGTAATGAATAAGTGAAGTTAAGTATTTCTTGATTGAACCGAATAAAACCCTGTTTCGGGTCAATCTGCAAAAAAAAAAAGAAACAAACAAACAAACAACAGGGTCGGTCTTTTGCATTCAAGCTTCGCACCGTCAGGTTTGCCAGTGTTTACAAGTAACATCAATGCGGTGTTTTTGAATCTATCTGGATACTGATCTCGTTTTTTGTTTCGCATTGGAATATCTCAGAAAAAAATTCCAAATATTTGTTAAATTTGGCACTTTCCGCGTTTGTAGAATTCTGTTATCCTCATGACAGGAAAGTTCGAGTGTAAATGAAACTTATTTTCATAAGAAACAGTTACAGGGTTCAAAAATCATGCTTGAAACAAGTCGGAGATAGTCCACCGATTCCGACTTAGTCACTTTCTATTTATGTATCTTCCTTACCAATCCTTTAAATAGGTCATCCTAAAATTAACGGCCCGTTTTTTAGATTGAATGAAGAACACTTTACTTTTCACCTACAGTACAAACATTCTGGTACGTTTGCTAATCGTAAATATAAAGAACTTTCTTACTCCCAAACTCTATAAACTTGCGACCACAATCCAGTCGTGAAAATGCGACACCATTCAGCGGCACATCCCCATTATCCTCTCGTAAGGAAGTACCCCCCCCCCATTCCCCGGTAATTTTCCGTACTACAGGATCTTCGGTCATCTATTATAGTTTAAAATGACAGAGGGTAAAAACGAAAAGAATTCATTTCGTATCGTAAGGTTTAAGTGTGAACAAAATCTGGAGGTCGAAAATCAGGTCAAGGGAAATTGAACTGCGTGACTGCAGCTTTTATAGATGATTTTCACTGTGACGTCATCAAATTGTAAAGTCAAAATAGCGAGGTTTTACGAATTCTTATTTACACCAGGTTGAAGATAAACAAAAAATAAATCTTTGTACAAGTTTCCAGTCCCGAAGCACGCTTCATTTCGAAAATATAGTAATTTGAACTTCCGAGTTTTCACAGTGCGTGACACCAAAATAGGGATGCTGTCTCGTTGAAAAAAAGTCTCTCCCCTTGATTTTCAGCAGTATAACCATTTCAAGTATTAGAAGATATGTTTATGCGCACGTATGCTAGTTCTCGACTGAAAAGAAGGAGCTTTTATAGAAAAAGTGACCTCCACATGTTTTTGTTGATTTCCGGCGGCCACATTGGTGCACCAAAACGGTACACCAATATAGCGTCTCCATACAAAGCTCTGAAGGTGCGTGAAACGTTTCGGTAAATAACTCAGAAACTGTGGGCTACAAAGACGTTCTTCCACTGGACGGTTTCCAATTAACCTGAGTATCAGGTATTATTTTAGTTGCGTGACAGTGAAAACAATCGCCTATCTATACAATCGAATCTGTTGTTATTCTTTACTGTGATGTAAGCCGCTCTCTAACACTGCAATCAAAGTCACCAGAACTGACAGGGCCTCAAATGTAATATGGGTGAAGAGCCCCAGGTAAATCAACAACAGCTCGGCTTAACTGGACCTGATTAGTATGTACACTGTAAATCAGATAGATCCGGTTTTAGCCCTAAAAATGGGGTCGTTCGGTGAGTAAAATGCTGTCCTGATTTTGGCTTTAATGTGACTCCCTTTATCAGGACCAACACGGTCCATTTAATAGCACTGAGCTATTAAATGAGGGCTGCTAGAATAGGCTTTTGATGGGGCTGTTGTCAGGGGCACCCAACGACAGTTTCCTCCTAAATACATTGAAAACACTTTTTAGGCTATACAGAGTACTTTTAGAGCCGTAGGAATGCATTCTAAGTGGTGCTATAACATTTGTATCTGTTCGGTCATCCCAGGGGAACTTGAGTCTTTTCGAAATTATAAGGGCTTGAGTATTTCTTCCTCGAAATTTTTAGATGGAATTTGACGTATTACGAAAGTGAGACATTTTCTGATTCCTCTCCTCATCACATTTTTGAATCCGAAAATTTTAGGTTTCCTTTTTTCTCAGAAAAATAGCCTGACTTGGGAAATAAAATGTGAAAATTAAACTTCAGGAAATCGTAGGGGATTTATTAGATAAGCTTCGAAAATTGAACATGAATGGAACGGTTATCTAGAAATTTTTAGCCGTCCGTAAGTGATAGAAAATTCTGGGCAATATTTTCTTCTCCGAACAGATATTTTACATAAGGATTGCTTAAATCAGATCTTAGGCCTGAGGGGCTAAATTGGCACCTTTTTTTTTAGCTGAAACAGATCTTTTTAATTTTCAGTGTAGTGTATTCATAAGGAAAGAGAGGAAAATCAAAGAAAAATCTCACGTGCTCACCAAGCACAGCAGAGTGTGCCACTGCTGAGCGATTCTGTCTTTGTTCTTCAGTCCTGTATTCACCCACAAGTCTGCCGTCACTTTTGCGTTCAAGATAAAGTTCGTCTCCACGCTGATTATACCATGTGCCGTTTAGGGTCTCGCAGTTCTTGCCAGCTGTGATGCACACAAAGGCAAGGACCGCCAAGACTACAAAAACCAGGTTGATTTTCGACATCTTGACAGTTTTCCTTGAACTGTCTGAACTGCTGCCGATTTAATAGTGGCTGTCGTTTTTTCATGCCCCTTCATTTATAAAACTATATAATTATACACATATCGAATATACAAGTAAACAGTGAAACTGTATCGGTCCGTAGGCACGCGTTTTGGACCCCCCCGGGGAGGAGGAATACCAGAAACATTGGGTGGGGGTGTGCGGCACGCTTCCTGAAACCCTTACCCTATTTCAGACCAAAATCTGTGATTTTCAATACCCTATTTCAGACCTGACCCTTAAATCAAGACTAGAGTGCACAAACCATACCCTATTTCAGACCAAAATTGAACGGCTAAAAAACTATACCCTTACGTGCCGCACATACCTATATAGCCTATTTAAGGGAGTGCCCCCCCCCCGGATTTTCGATATCAGTTTGCTTTGAACTACTGCCAATTCAGACTTTTCGTTTGACACGTCCCTTAAATGAATTAAATTTTTTAAGTCGTTTCCAGGCACATTTGTACTCAAGTGATGTGCCAATTCCCAGGACTAAAGCCTGTTTCAGAGAAATTTCATGTAAATGACAAAATCAGAAATTTGAGACAAATAAATGTGTCTCCTGAGCATTATTTTTGAAGTTGCAAACAACAGAGATCAACTTTGACCCTGATATAAGGAGGGGGGGCGGTCTCGAATAAATTTTTTCGGCCCCTCGGCCCTGAGTTTGGTCTTTAAATGACGGGGGGGCTCCCGTGTCCCTCCCCTGGATCCGCCACTGACTCCTGCCTGTTACTTGCTGCCCTTCTATTCTTACACCCTTCATTATACTAAGACGATTAATTCGTTACCAGGACCAACAGCGCGTGTCAGTTTACCGCAAAAAGGCCTTTTTTTAGGTTACCACAATCTTCTTCCGCGTAAGCTTAAAGGCATGCGAGAAATATCGTTGTACGAGTAAACAGTGAAACCTTATCGGTTTTAAATTTGCTCGAGCACGTATCGCTAGCTAAAAAAGGGATTAAAAAACTTACCAAGCATGAAACAATGCAGCTTTAGAACTCATGAAATAAACGTAAAATCGGATAGAGCTTCAACATTGGCATGAAGAGCACTTTGGCTGTAATGAGTTTCGTTAGCCTGAATTCGGCATTCATTCTAAATAACTTTTTACGCTCAAAAAAGTATCGTAAATAGAAGGCTCAAATTAAAAACCCTTTTATAAGTTGACATACGTGACCGAATAGCAAGTAAGATTCTTCTAAGTTTAGCACTCATTCAGATCGATCCAGCCGCAAACTTCCTTTTTTTTTTACTTCCTGTTCACTTAATGCTACAAATCGTGCTGAAACGTGCTGACACTCTTGGCCTCCTCAGTTATTTGTGTCCTCTGGAAGGTACCTTGATATCTTTTCTTTGCTCAAATTAAAAAATTCAGTGATGTAAAATGTCCACTGAATGGCTAAAGTAGACCTTAACAGATTATCAAATTTAAATTACAAATTTAAAAATACATAAACTATAAAATTAACGCCTAGGTACACGCATTATAAGCAAATTGAGGAAACAGTTGGTCGGTATGTGTGGTTAGGAGATATGACATGTGACATGGCATCAAGCCATTTTCCAACAAAATGGTAGGGTTGTTTGTTTGCTTTTTTATGTGTTGGTTCTTTATCTTTTGGCTTTCTAACTCTTTCACATCCGTTGAACAAAAATGATTTTTTAGTAGTTTAGAACTAAGTTTTTGCAAATATTTGAATTTTCAGTAAAATTTCAAAGGGGTGGAGATTTTGAATGAGGCCACAGTTCCCCAGCAGCACCAAAACCACAATGCTACTATCATCTTGTAATCTTCCGTCGACACAACCAAATATTACAAGATGTATTCTGAATGGTTATTTTGATGATCAATCTAAAAGTGATGTATTTACATTCGGCGGAGCTAAACGTAGTGGCAGTAACAGAGAATGTAAATACTTTCCTATTGGTATGAACGCACGTAAGCCGCTATGGCGTTAATTGACTCTATTGTTGTAAGGTATATAAGGTTTTGACAGTTGTAATGTATTCATCTCAGCCCTCGAACTATCAAATTTTATTTTTATATCTTACTTTATTCATCTATCGATTGATTTTTTACCTGTAACCCCAGGGGTTGTGCGACCGCATCGGTTGGGGAATACGCTCCCAATTTTTTCCCATTGGGTTTTTGGGTTTTCGTATCAGGCGGCGCACGTGAATAGTTTAGCCTGAGTGACTTTATTTAGGAATATTTGTGTACCATTCTTTAGTTATGATGTTGAACTTTGTATGTTATTTGGATGGCATTAAACACTCAGGCTCCATAGTTCGAGCTTCACACCCATTCCCGTCTCTTAGTCGTGAATATAAATAGGAATTAATATAAGATTCGTAAAATATCAACCCAATCGCGAATTCTCTGGTTATCTGTCTTGCACCTGGAGGATTATAATTAAGGCCGTCTCGAAGACTCGAATTTTGAAACGATATAGGTCTCTAGTCTTCGTAGACTTGTAACACTCGCTTAAGCTTAAGTTATTTGTGTTAGTGCTTTACATTACTTTTGTATGTAATTATGCAAACTCACGCTCGCTGGAAGATTTTAGTTCTGTATTGAGCTTTGCAGAATCTGTTGTTTCGACTGTAAATATGAATTAGTCATAAGAACAAACAAAAGTATGAAGTGGGTTGTGTCAATTTTGGGTTTATGTTCACGTGCGTTTTGCAAAATGATCATCAAAAAATGATATTTTTAAACATTTACAGTGTGCTGTTTTCTATAGACATAAAGAACACAGCAAGCAAACCTGCTCAATCAGACTTAAATCAACATTAGAGCCCTAATAATGACCAGCATCATGATTCTCCTAGCAATAACACAGTCTAATAAAAATACAGGTCATGAGAATGAAGGCAATGATCACTCAAGATGAAATGTCTTGATGTTCAAACAAATTCTTTCCAGAAGTACCATAAGAATTGTATGAACAGGGGCGGATCTAGGGGGAGGGTGCAGGGGGTGCGCACCCCCCCCCCCCGAGATGACCTGCGGTTTTCTAATACAACTGGTATTCTGCAAAAAAAAAAAAAAACTATGTGGTTTATTGGTGTTGAAGTAGAGCAAGAGACGAGTGCACCCCCTCCTAAGAAAAAACCTGGATCCGCCCCTGATGAAGAACAATATTGAGAATGTGCATGTTGATATTAGAGCTTAAGGGGTTAATAAGTGTGACACCAGGGACGTATATACAGTAGAACTGACTGGTACTTTATTTTGTAACCATGTGTTATAAATGTCAGTCTTTTTGCGCTAGAAAGCCGAGGAACACTGGCCTGAAGGCATTCGAGGAAGATGAAAAGAGTGAGCATTGAGCTAAATTTTATGCAATGGCATTAATGCACGGTTCAAATGTTTAACTTTTCACATGTTTCATGAAAATGTATCGAACTTAATACCCAAATGGTATAAGTTCGACGATTTATTCAAATGTCGAATTTTGTTAGTCGGACTTCTTTTATTTTATTTTTTTCTTCACGATTTACAATGATCTACAATGCTTACCAGTGAAAATAAATCATTAGTAATATATGCATTAGATACGGAACGTGAAGCGGTCGACGTTTGAAACGAATCATACATGTCGGGCTTTTACTGATTCAAACGTCCATCTTTTCATGCACTTTATTTAAGGGATTAGTGTCGGTTCATGAAAAGTTTGACTTTCAAACTGGGTCAACACAGCGTGCATAGGTCGTAACGACAATACGATATTTCCGGTAATTTATTTTGTTCTTATTAGTAAATATTCGCCGCAGTAGGACATTTTTATTATATGGCTACACTAGTACACGCCCTCTGGTTGGCTGCTAGGCGTCCAAGGCATATACAATCTGTGTTTAAGTTGACAGTGGACATCCATGTTTTGGTCAATTGACAGCTATCAAAAAGGGTATCCGCAGGCCAGTGCCATATGACTGTATCGCGGGCTCAAATGCACAACTCAGTGAAGTGAAGTGTTTTTTAAGTTATCCGCTGAACAGTTATTGGTGTTACTTGATCCTAGGCTCAGGTCTAAAATTCCCCATTGTCAAAGAAACTGTGTCTTGAGGTTTCGATGGCATCACCAGGTACGTTTCTGTCCAGAGAACACGACCTCGAATGACCTCTTCCGCGCGGATGTTGAAAATCAATTTGGTGTGTTTTTATATTGTACAGACGACCACCCAAAATGCGAAGACTTAGTGGTCGCTTACGGGAGGTGTTCGCTTAAGGGAATCGAACCACAGGGATTTTCTTCCGAGAAGAAGCCCGGACACATCTACTTTAAGGAAGAGAATTTATTGCATGCAATTTCCAAGTTACGACATGTGCAGTTCCATGTTGTTACTAAAGCTCTTCGTATATTCTAAGTAGGACAGTGCACAAAGAGACCATAAGAGAGCGGAAAAGTCGTCAAGTGGTCGCTTACAAGAGGTTAAAAACAATAGAAAATCATTAAACCGTCAGCACCAAATAGTGGTCGCGGTCGTTTACAGAAGATGGTCAATTACGAGGGGCTCCAACTTTAATATTTAAACTGGGAAAGTTTTGGTGTTTTGGATAGGTGGTCGCCTAGGGGAAGTGGTCGCTTACGAAAGCTGGTCGCACATGGAGGTTCGACTGTATTCATTTTAAGAATAGCGCTATAAAGGCCATATAATAAATAACTTATTAACCTCGTCGGTTCGGTCATTACAGGGAAATCTCAGACCTCGGACATATGTATTGGCCTCGGTCTGAGATTTCCCTGTAATGACCTCACCGTCGGTTAAAAAGTGCTATACAATATATCCAATTATCCAATCGTCTTGTACATTTCCCATTTCCTCTAGATTCAAACACATCAACTGTCACACAGTTTGTTTGGATCCTCTACGATAGGANTAAGTTATCCGCTGAACAGTTATTGGTGTTACTTGATCCTAGGCTCAGGTCTAAAATTCCCCATTGTCAAAGAAACTGTGTCTTGAGGTTTCGATGGCATCACCAGGTACGTTTCTGTCCAGAGAACACGACCTCGAATGACCTCTTCCGCGCGGATGTTGAAAATCAATTTGGTGTGTTTTTATATTGTACAGACGACCACCCAAAATGCGAAGACTTAGTGGTCGCTTACGGGAGGTGTTCGCTTAAGGGAATCGAACCACAGGGATTTTCTTCCGAGAAGAAGCCCGGACACATCTACTTTAAGGAAGAGAATTTATTGCATGCAATTTCCAAGTTACGACATGTGCAGTTCCATGTTGTTACTAAAGCTCTTCGTATATTCTAAGTAGGACAGTGCACAAAGAGACCATAAGAGAGCGGAAAAGTCGTCAAGTGGTCGCTTACAAGAGGTTAAAAACAATAGAAAATCATTAAACCGTCAGCACCAAATAGTGGTCGCGGTCGTTTACAGAAGATGGTCAATTACGAGGGGCTCCAACTTTAATATTTAAACTGGGAAAGTTTTGGTGTTTTGGATAGGTGGTCGCCTAGGGGAAGTGGTCGCTTACGAAAGCTGGTCGCACATGGAGGTTCGACTGTATTCATTTTAAGAATAGCGCTATAAAGGCCATATAATAAATAACTTATTAACCTCGTCGGTTCGGTCATTACAGGGAAATCTCAGACCTCGGACATATGTATTGGCCTCGGTCTGAGATTTCCCTGTAATGACCTCACCGTCGGTTAAAAAGTGCTATACAATATATCCAATTATCCAATCGTCTTGTACATTTCCCATTTCCTCTAGATTCAAACACATCAACTGTCACACAGTTTGTTTGGATCCTCTACGATAGGAACAGTGTGGAACGTTTTCTTACGAAGCTAGGCAAAATGCTTTTAAAAAGTGTTTTTAGTTGCTTTTGATTCAAACATGTAGTAACATGTCGAAACATCAGCTAATTAACTTCAATTGCATTTTAAATTATTTGTGTTACGTTCCCATCAGTTTTTGGGCTCTCCATCCCCCACCACCTTGATTGGCAACAAATGGGCGTGTTTTTTGCCGTGTTACGACGTCATAATAATAACCTTTTCGATCGCTCTAAGTATTTTCCCCCGGCAGAATAAATATCCTGTATTTGTTTTGCAGCACATATGATATTACAAAGAGAATGAAAAAAGAAAAAGGAAAATTCTTTATTTTGGGGATCGAAAAAAAAAGGAAGAAGAATAAGATTAGTGACTTTGCATTTAAACATACAATTGCTGTTTTTTTTTTTTTTTACTTCTATTTCAATTATTGATTATGATAGCAGGTTCTATTTCAGTTAAACTGCGCGAAACAAATTACCTGTACCCTGCCGAAACAAATAAGCAGAAGACCAACGCAAAGGTGATATTAAATACAATTCTGGAGTTTTAAGTCCGTGGCGGCCTAGCTATCATGATATATGAGCTAGAATATTATGCTTCGGCACATTATATTCGGGCCCGTCAGGTTTAAAGTTAAGAGGGGCTATTGAACAGATATATATTTTTTGGAAGTATCTAATCTGAGCATAATTAACGCAAGACTCAAATTATAAGCGTTCCTTCGTAGCGGAAGACAAAATATACTTCAGTACGAGAGAAGGAATCTTATGCAGTGCTGTTGTAGAGAAAGCTGTACTGATAACAATGGGCATTGTTGGCAAAAAGTTGAATAAAAAAGGTGTTATTAGGAAGATCCCCCTTGTCTTCAAAATATGAGGAATGCTTGGCCTCTACAGACAAAGAAAAAAAAACAACAACAATAGAAAGATTTAAAAAAGTAATAATAAAAACTCTGCAAGCTGTTTGCCTCCCCAGCCAAGAGCATGGCGGAACCTCCTTAACTCACGGACGGCTGGACGTCGTGCAGCGAGTCATGCTTTGTAATTATAAGAACCAACTTCAGGTAACCACGGTTTAACTTTATGCTGTATATCATTCGACAATCTATAAATTCGTCTAATCTTGGGAGGGTGGAATTGGCAACCCTGGGCTTCCTCTTGAATGGGGTCCAAAAAAGGTTTGTTAATATTTGCACTGAACTTTGGAGGTAATTGACCTAAGTGTAGATCTTCGTTTCTCCACCTGCCTTGCATTGACTTTATAAATTGCTCTCTTCGCTCATTCTGTTAAGTTCTTCCGTTCATACTTGAGTGAAATCAGGCGTATTCTGTGACCATCTAGATATTAACTGTTGGTTTTATCTGAAACAAGAATATGAAAAATTTTTCAGCTACCAATGCCTCGAACAGTGCGAGCCAAGGCTATTATCACACTTTGGCAGAAGGAATCGTACTATGCAGTGCTTTTGTAGTGGAAGCCGTACTGATTGCCTTTGGGAATTTGTTAACAGTGCATGGTTCTATTCGCATTTAATAGAAAGCTTCGCAGGAAAAGCTTGTTTCTTATTATAAACATGGCATTTTCTGATTCCATGTTAGGAGCTGTGTGTCTGCCGCTGTATGTTTACTTGATAGTAGGACCTGCATTTCAGCTATGGGAAAATGCATATGAGCTGCAGATGAGGTTAGATATTTTTGTCCATGTGTTGCATACCATTTTCACGCACTCATCTTTAATTTCTGCAGTGTTCATATCCTTTGAAAGATTCTATGCCATATATTGGCCATTGAAACACCGAAGACTGTCAGTGCGAGAATATTTCATAATCATTTTAACGACATGGTTTTTGGCCATCATTGTTTGCGCTGTCCACAACGCAGAACACTACTTTCATCTAGGACTTTCCTTTTACGGATGGATTCTTTTCCCACTGGTATTTCTATCTGCTGTTTGTGTCTTAAACATTGGCATTTTGATGAAGTTCCATGGGGGAAGTCTGGGAATTGCCAATTTACAGCAGCAAAACAGATCTGCGCAGAATATGAAACGACTGACAAAAACGCTGTTGTTTGCATCTATGACCGCCATACTTTCCTGGCTTCCTCTACTCATTGGTAACTGTTTAGTGGCCGATCATGAGGTCTATATACCGCCACATAGTTATTGGTTATACTTAATTCTAATGAATTATACCAACTCCATCATCAATCCAGTTCTGTACGCATTAAGAATCTATGAGTTCAGATCATCTCTGCTGTTGTTGTGCTTAAGACGCCCCGTCGTAGTGAGAGGCGAGGAAAGAGGGAAACAAAGAGATGACAGAAGTGACCTTTCAGCGCATGCATTGCAGCTTGAAACATCTAAGGAAGAAATTATGGATACTAAATTTTGAAATGGAGGAATGGCTTCAAGTTCATGTTTGATATCTAAGCGGACAAGAAACCTGACTGGACCTAAACTACTTCTGTTTGGTGATCGACCTTGGAAGAAGTGGCAAAAGTTAATAAAATAACATAACGCGACGTAACATTACTTAGATTTAGATAAGCCTAAAAGCGGAACTCCTGTTAAAAATTTTGAAAAAAAAAAAGAACCAACTTAAAACCAATCCAAAGCAGTAAATCCTCAGATCTACTTCATAATCAGTTTATTAAACCCTTTTGGTAGTGTATAACACTAAATTACAAGGGAGGTCAAGAATACGCAGAACACATAATTACACATGGCACAGAAGGCAAAAAAAACAATTACATCCTATTGTAACTGTGGGTAACAAAATTACTAAGGCGGTCCGTTCTGACAAAGCGGAATTCAGAACGAGAAAAACCCGACCTCAACCGTACCCATGAGCGACATTCGTGGGCTGCGGCAGCAGGTGTGAAAGGAACCCGGACTCCTTGATGTTAGATATAAAACGCCTGCAAGCCTTATCACGGCGCGATAAAAGTGTAGGCAAGTCGAAGCGCACGGGTGCCGACTCATAAGAGCAATCTGGAAAACTTATTCTTAGTGCAGACTTCTGCACGCTTTCTACCGATTGAACCAGACAGTTGGGTAACGCGGCCCACACCGGAGATGCATATTCTAAAATGAGCCGCACAAGGCTACAATAAACCTGAATGAGATCAGCTGGTGGGAGGCCTGATTTCATTAAGACACGCAAAACGTAGAGACGCTTGCGTGCTCTCTTCACAATATAGTCGCAGTGAATAGACCACGATAAATTGTGCGACAGATGGACACCGAGCAACTTATAAGATGGCACCTGCTCTATAATACTGCCCAACATCTGTAAGGGAGGTAGGTCGAAGGGCTTATACTGTAAGAAATCTATGCGTAACTCTTTACATTTGGATGGATTTAGCTTCGTACCATGACTACTAGCATAAGAACAAATATCTCTAGCTATAAAGGGCAGCAAGTTACAAACTGTTACGCTCCCTGTACTTATTTCGATCCGAAATGTATCCTTTTATTTTGACATAATTTGGTCGCTTTCCAAGTTCTTCTGATTCTTTCTCATTTTGCAGTCAACATTTTATAAATGTTCACTGACTAAAATGGACAGACAAAGTAGCGTAACAGTTTGTAACTTGCTGCCCTTGCCTTGCACTTTTCTGTCTCCCTATTTGTTGTACCAAGTTTCATCGCTCAGAATTCCACGAGACATCAGGACCTTCTCACTGTCCAGAGCGCCAAATTTAAAACGCGTACTTCTAACAAAGGAGCCAAAATAGAAAAAAAAAAAAAAAAGAAAGAAAGAAAAATGGGGGAAGGAATGGCGGCGTACCAAGGTGTACGTTTTACTATAAAAAACTAAGTGCTTTGGCGGTTAGGGTTGACCCTGGCTTTTTCATAAGAGGTGTCGAGGAATCAGTTAAAGTCATTTTCACTTCCTTGAGACTTGGATAACTACTATTGAATCGGGTTCTAAAATACAGATTTTTGCTAATTTCGGTACGGGAAAAATACCTCATTGATATTCAGAATTGGTTATTTTTCGTTTAGAAACGACTCACTAAATAAGGTTCCTCGGTAAACTCAATTGTCAGGTTTGTAGCATTATTTCAATCACGGTGCCCGTGCGATTTTAATATCCATAACTTTGAAACAACTAAATGGGAGTCAATCAAGATGAGGGTAAAAGTTCTTAGTTCCTAAACTTCATTTGGCAATAATTTGCTTCATCAATCATTTCTCTATAATAATTAATGTTCCCAAGCAACTACTTTCGCAATAAGCTGTACTTATAAATTTTCATTTTTTTAAAAATTCTATTTTATTCATTTTAATTTTCACTTTTGATTTACTGTATAGTTCCAAAAACGTTACTATGACACCATTCTTCTTTGCCTTTTTAAAATTGATCTGTTGGAAACCCAAGCGTAAAGTCAAGATGGCCAAATGTTCCATGAAGGCCACACGATGCTTGCATGCAGCCGTCTTCACCGAAAAAGCTTGGTCGATAAAGGATTTATTTTTTATTTATTTGGCAAAACAAAAATCTTTTCACGCGCGGTCCTAAGGGGACAAAATATCCCCATCTTGCCAGCTCAGGTAGCCAATTAGAACACAGAAATCGCTTTATCTCGTCCGCTTGCGGAAACAGCAATATATAGCAAGTGGAATTGTTGTCCTGGTAAGTCATTTTGTACTAATAACTGTAAAAGGTCCTCTTAATCTCGTTTAGTAGAGCGGTTATATTTTACCCCTTAAGGGACTGACCATTAGAAAAGTTATGGGTGGGGGGAGGGGAATTTTTGAGCCACAGGAATTTTTTTTCGTTATCAAATTCTTAGTAATAATTTTTTTTATTCCATAGCATGAATATTTTTTAGGGTTAATTGGCGTGCATGAATTTTTTTCATTTAATTTTCCCTTGCGCGAATATTTTAAAAATTAGGCCTGGCCCACCCCATGATTTTTTCACCCCCCCCCCCCCCCCCCACCCAAACCACACTCCCACACCCCCCCATTCTTCCCACCCCCACAGCCTCTCTTTTTGTGTTTTTTTTTCTTCTCTGTTTTTTTTTTTTTTTTTTTTTTTTTTTTTTTTTTTTATTTTCTTTTTTTTTCATTTTTTTTGTGGTTTTTTTTTTTTTTTTTTTGTGTTTTTTTTTTTTTTTTCTTTCTTTCTTTCTTTCTTTCTTTTTTTTTTTTGCTTATTTGCTCTATTTAAAGCATGGTAAAAAAAATAAAATAAAAAATAAAAAATAAAAAAACCGAAGACAGGAAAGAAATCATAATGGGCTCAGCTCGCGCTTAGAATGAGTTTATCTCAAAATGTTCCCAAAAGGACATAACCGAATGTTACAGGATCGGAACAACTATTAAACAAAGAGCCTTTCTTTATTATTGACCATTCAAGTCGACGGATTTATTTAGCTGCTTTATCCATTACAAGCCGACTAAAAGAGCTTAAGTTCTTTTCACCAGTTTAAACAAACACCGGGATTTGACATTGCGTAAAGCCAACATGAACAAATTTCCACGCTTAATTTCAATATGGGATGAATAGAAACTTAACGCCTTTGTTACCACGTAAACTGAACAAACAAGTCATTTTATGAGATTTAAATCTATATAATTGGCTCGCTTGTGTGTGCAAGTTAGTCCAAAATTAACTTCCACGATTAACTCTGCGTTCTTCGGGACACAACGCCTTTAAAAGTCAGCCTTTTGACTTTTAAACAGCGGGAATCTTTCTTTTCTTTGTAATGCGACAAACATGATGAAAAGAACAATTTTTCTATTGGTTCTTTTGAGCGCTTGCTGTTGTCGGTGAGTAGATTCTGCTCTGTGGTTTCCTTCCTTCTTTTTAATGTGGAAATAACTTCTTTTATATTTCAGGTAAATCGCAACTTTAAAATTGTGTTTTAGGTATAGCAAAAAAAAAGAAAGGAAAACCAGACCGTTGTTTTGAGAAGACAAGTAATATCGATACGGACAAAGATTTTTCTTACCATAACACCTTTTTTACGTGGCAATTTGACGGTATTTGTTATAGGATGTGACCGACTTCCTTAAACAAACTGATTGGTTGTTTCTATTATATTCGTCTAACCAAGAGGAGTAGACTACGCATAACGTCGCAGTCTCGGAATTTAAGAACTTTCTAATTTCTGAATCAGTATAGTCTAATAAGATTTTAAAAAAGTCTTCTTAAAAGCCCTATATGATCTTTTATTGGGGGTTTCTATAATTATTAAATGTTATGCCGATGTCCCTGTAAAACATCTGCATTTCAATTATGCGATTCGGTTTTTCAATTTTACACATTTCTCGGCTAAAGATAATGTTATACCCTTTGGTGAGTAATTTTCTTTTACCAGTTGCGGTGAATCGCGGATGATATTTCATCGAAATAACTTGGTATCTTATTTGCCAACTGCTCTTGACTTCTTTTTCTTTTGCATTTGTGATACACTAGTTCAAATTTGTCATCTCTGTCTTTTTCCTTCTTTCCAATAGTTTGTCCGTAGCTGGTAATGGAGGTAAGATTTTAAATAATTTTTGGTAATATATCTTTTAAATTTGCTTACTCTTTCTTCAAATCTCTCTTTGTAAACCAGTTTTTAATCAATTCAAATTGACATAACAAATAAAAAAATCGGCAGCAGTTCAATGAAGACCATTGATATCATTATTATTCGATCCAGCTTTACGTCCTGGCTTACCGCGCATTTTCCACGGTCAAAAACGTTTGTCCTTTTAAGACTGTACCTAGCCAATCGGGAAACGTGACAAAACAGAAATAAAAAAAGCATTCGTGGAGTTTATTAAAATAATAATATGAATAAAGAAGTGCATATTGACAGGCACTTTTCCTACGCTACGGTTATGTTTTTTGCCTAGTGCCACAAAAAAAAACAGTTGTTTTCGTGTCCCTATGCATTTCTAATCATTCACTTTTGATTAAAGTATTTTAATACTTTTTAAAGTATTAAAAAATACGCTTCATCATTATAACCTTGATCTTTTGTTTTCTCCTGCTTAAACAAGTCCGTGTAGACAATGGCTATCAAACTTTGTTTCACAAATTAATTTAGATCACTAAATAAAAGGATTGGTGTATTGGTGTTGTCGCAAAACCTGATAGTTGTATTCGGTCGTTAAGTTTTTCAGCTGAGATTAATAATGGTCGATTCACGCGTATCACTACTACGACCTTGAAGACGAAGATGATAGAAAACAGAAGACAGAAAAGAAAAAATCAAAACCAGGGAACTCAGTAAAACGGTAAACCGCTACAAGGCGTTTTCGAAGTCAGCTCAACACATTACCTATATTTTTTTTGCTTGCCAACCAGCAGGCTCTTGTCCACGATTTGATGTACAAGTCTATTTTAAGTTCGATCAGCCCGTTTAAGTAGCTTCGGGAACTGAAAAGAGGGTAACCGGTCATTTCTCCCACAAGTCGCCTGATTTCGCCCCGGTTTCTTTTAAAGCGCCTATTTTCGAGTCATTTAGCGCGTATCAAATGTAATTATGTTTTTCGTTTCATAACCCAGAAAGCAAAACAACTGCGCGCTTCAAATGTAATATTCCTCTTTCTTTNAAAAAAAAAACAGTTGTTTTCGTGTCCCTATGCATTTCTAATCATTCACTTTTGATTAAAGTATTTTAATACTTTTTAAAGTATTAAAAAATACGCTTCATCATTATAACCTTGATCTTTTGTTTTCTCCTGCTTAAACAAGTCCGTGTAGACAATGGCTATCAAACTTTGTTTCACAAATTAATTTAGATCACTAAATAAAAGGATTGGTGTATTGGTGTTGTCGCAAAACCTGATAGTTGTATTCGGTCGTTAAGTTTTTCAGCTGAGATTAATAATGGTCGATTCACGCGTATCACTACTACGACCTTGAAGACGAAGATGATAGAAAACAGAAGACAGAAAAGAAAAAATCAAAACCAGGGAACTCAGTAAAACGGTAAACCGCTACAAGGCGTTTTCGAAGTCAGCTCAACACATTACCTATATTTTTTTTGCTTGCCAACCAGCAGGCTCTTGTCCACGATTTGATGTACAAGTCTATTTTAAGTTCGATCAGCCCGTTTAAGTAGCTTCGGGAACTGAAAAGAGGGTAACCGGTCATTTCTCCCACAAGTCGCCTGATTTCGCCCCGGTTTCTTTTAAAGCGCCTATTTTCGAGTCATTTAGCGCGTATCAAATGTAATTATGTTTTTCGTTTCATAACCCAGAAAGCAAAACAACTGCGCGCTTCAAATGTAATATTCCTCTTTCTTTAAGCCATAAAACCAAAACAAGCAAGCTTCAAATACAATATTCCTCGTTCTTGAAAAGGGGGCTAAGTAACCGGAGCGAAATGACTTATGATCAGATCGATCGATGCATTTGATCGGCCAAAAATGTTTCTTAACTGACCAGAGCTTCGAGAACTTCCCAGTAATGCATTCCATCTCCTCACTTTCCAAAGCCGATTCAGTTCGGCTGAAGAGGAACACAAGGTAGTTTCTTACCATGCATTGGCCTTTTGACGAGCGAGTAAAAGAAGACAAATGTAGCAATGTGTCTAAAAAAAATTATTATTAATAGTAAGAGATATTTCAAAATTATGAAATTATGTACTATAACAGGAGCCCTTACGGGCTCCTGACAATGACGATGTGTATGCCATGAAATGAAAGGAATTAGCTAACCTCTAATCTCAAGGTCTCTTAGAATTGAGAATTGGATGGCTTGTGGGGATAGCCAGCGTAGAAAAATGGCCATCATTGCCCCGCAATTTAGACAAAACTACGAGAGTTGAAGGAAGAAATAAAAATGCTGCAAAACCGGGCCGTAAAAAAGTTGAGAAAAGTGGTCAAAAGTGAAGATTTCTTTCCTTTTTTACCGCGCCACAGAGATGATGCATTTTATGTTAGCGCTTTGTAACGTATTTCAATATAATGATTTCGAAATTATTTACCTCTGCATCTGAGCCTTTTGTTGGTTTGGTTTTTTTTTTGGAAGGGATTGTATCAGAGTGAAGGTGGTTTCTCCTCTCCATTCGCCTTCAAACAACGATCGCTTCGACTAATATAATTTAACTCGCCTCGAGGGATGTTGATACCAAACACTCATGTGCTTTTCATGGACATACCGTTACCTCATTTCCGAGAAACCGCCTTCGCTGTGACGCAAATGCCTTCCAAATTGACGATAACGGGACAGAAACACAAGTTGCATTGATATGAACAAGCCGCCAACCACACAGGCCAGTAAGAATTATCCCTGGATTATCTGACCAAGCTTTCAAAAGTATAACCCTTCTAATATTCACCTAATTTGTTTAATTGTTTTGTTTGTTTGTTTTTTTGGCAGCTATGTGCAACATGAAAACATCGGACGGCAAGTGCTGCGTTTTTCCTTTCGTCTATAGAGGACAAACATTCAATGCGTGTACATCCTCCAGAGCAAGCCGACTTTGGTGCAGCCTCTCCCCTAGTTACGACGAGGATAGAAAATATGGATGGTGTAGAGGTGGGCCATTCTATATATAGTCTGGTCGTGTTTGATAGTTAAGGTGGCTCGATAGGGTTTTTCAGGGCGACTACCCCCCCAAGTTTGAGTATAAACTGCGTCGCCATTAACCATTAAGATTTGAAAAAATTACCACCACAGCTGTATAGTAGATAAAGATGAAAATTTGTTGTGATCAAGGTTACAATAACATCATAGCAACGAAATGACGCCATTTCCTATTTTACTTGCAGCCGTATTTCTCGGCACTGGGAACCGTTCTTCGAAAATCGTTAACGGGAACCTTTTCCTGCAAAAGCCGCCTCGATGTTCGAAAAGTTTAAGCGAAATCAGTAAAAGCGTTACCGAGATATTTTTGGATGAAGTTATTATGGCTAGAAATACAGTGAAAACTGGACAATGTTTAGCCGTTATCTGTAGAAAATGTAACGAAGTATGTATATGACTGACATTTCGAATGTATTTATGACTATCATTTCTGGCATCAGCCTTTATTGATAAAGTATGCTAAATAAGGCTCAGAAAAATATTCAGAGCAAAAGTCCCTAGCTAGAAAGTCCAGGAAAATAGACCTCTGAAATTGTTTTGGAATCGAACACGAATCACTGTGAGGTAAAACGAGTCTCCAATTCGAATTTCGTGACAAGTAATTTTAGCGTTTGCTCATACTTCAACCAAAGGCGATTGCTGTAAAAAAATAAAAAAATAAAAAAAAAATTACCTGCAGTAAAATCGATTATCATTATTGTCGTCGTCGTTGTCGTTGTCATCATCGCCATCCTCATCATCACCACCTCATCATCATTTATACAGATTTTATTTGAAGATATTCATCCGAAGATAGCTGATATTTCTCCAGTCATACGTTTTCCTATTCTTGCTATCATTTTATGTTATTTCGATTTATTTAGCGGTGAACTTCTTCACCATTTTAGATCGAAGCTAATCACCAAAAACTGAGAAATGTTTTAAATGAATGATAATTGTGAGTTATAAGTTCTCCTTTTGTGCTACGTTTAATAATTGTGAGAAAACTAGAAATAAACAGCGATCTTTTGTTACCATTCTATTCTTTCATTTTTGCCTCGAAGCATTCAGAGCATCATTTTTTAAAAATTGGCTCACTTTATCTGTTTACATCCAGAAGGTCATGATAACCCTATGTGCGTGTAAATATAACAATATTAATTGCAAACTGTAATCGAAGGGATATAACAGGAGGACTGTTAAATAATTACAGGAATGGAAGGAAAGATTAGTGGAGACGACCACACTTGGGTATATGCCAACGGAAGATACATGGGAAAAGATAACGGGAGGTGGAATGTTCCCACAAGGTAACAAAATAAAACGCTGCTTTAAACTCTTATGTGAAAAATCGCCGCCATTAAGGACTCCAAGGTTTATATAGGCCAAACGTCGAACTTTTCATAAGACAAACCAAACTTATCGAGTCAAGTTCATGAAAAGTTCGACGTCTGGCTCATCAGTTTAGTTCGTCTGAATAAGTTTGGATCGTCCAACACGTTTTATCCGTCTGTTTCAGAAGGATTGGACGTCGGAAGATCGTCTCCGGGACAAACGCTGTCGATCTTCACATGCGACGAACTAACCTTAGTCTAATAAACTATTAATCTGTATGATAATTTATGTTTAGCCCAGTGCAGGAGAAAATTCATTAAAAACGCAAGTTTGGTCTGATTTATTTGACTGGTTCGACGCGTCCTAAGTTCGACGTCTGACCCAACAGACGGTCTTAACTTAATTTAGGTCGACTCAAATTAGACTTTGGTACGTCTCATGAAAAGTTCGACGTTTGTCCTAGGCCTAAGACTCACTATCGCGTGGGAAGTCAAACTCTCGTCCTTTTCTTTCATGTCGACACAGGCTTCCCCGTTGCTGCCTTACTTTCTTCTAAGTGCCCTCTTCCCATTGCGCTCATGATAAGGATCTATGAGGACCAGTTTCGTTTTCTGGCAAAGAAAGACAGCCCCGTCTCTTTTTAACTCGAAACTTTCAATATTTCAAAGTTTTCTATGTAAAGTTTTTTTTTCTCTGAGATAACCAAGTGTAAGTTTGAAACATGTTAAATTGTGTCAACTTTGAAAATATAATTCCACCACAGCTTCTACTTCTCTGCCGACATTCAAGTTGTTGCTGTCTACGTAAAAAACGTTGGTGGTTCAGGTGGTCTTATTGCGTCTTTTGGGAACGGCGTCGTTACTGACAGCACATGGAAATGTACTACTCAAGGCATAAGAAACTGGGAAAAAGTCGGATTTGACGACAACAATTGGCCGGCGGCCAAAGTACACAGCGGTAACAGTGGTAATGGAAGAGTGTATGGAATCGCAAGCGAAGCAAAGTGGATTGGTCCGAGCCTGCTAAACGCCGCTAACATTTACTGCAGGCGCCGTATGAGTATCTCCACGGGGCAGAAACCCGCCGTTGAGGGACGTAAGTCATTTGTATGCATTTTTTTGTTTCTTTGTTTATAGTGGAAAGTGCACTTAGCTTACCAAGCTAGTTTGCAGACACTCCACTCAAGTAATCCTGAAACAAATGATGCAAATAGAACATAACATTGAGGGTTGTGAGTAAATAGTGCACAAATTAAAGTATTACCAAGATTTCTTGGTTGAGAAAAACTTTTAGAGATTGAGTTTTGCCCATTGCAAATCACATTATATAAGTTTTAGGATGCTTACAAAAAAAGCAGAACTGGCCCACTGCATAGGTCATTCAAGAAAGAAAATGAATGGGCTGTTTTCGAAACTGTACGCCACGATCCACCACCTGACTGTAATGCAAATTTTTTATCAAGGTACAGTCCTGAATTCTGCTATAAACTGTAAGTAAAAAAAGATCTGTTTACCCATAACAGGGGGTAGTTTCGGTCAATAAAATACAGTCCTATTTTTGGGGGGTCTAGTTTAGCTCCCCTGAACAGGGCCGATACAGTCCAATTAGCTAGACTAAAGGCTGATTTAGTCCCACAGGCTGAAATGAGTCCCATCGTGGTCTGCAATAGGCATTTGATGGGGCTGTCTTAGCTTATTATGCTTAAATGACATCGAGAGAGGCTGAATCTGATTTCGCAGATGAGATGCAGGGCTTCTTAAATTGGCACTTTAGGGCTGAAACAGATCTTTTTGATTGACAGTGCGGTATAATAAGGGGTCCTTTTCATGATTTTCTCATGACCAATGTAGCGTGCGATAAGCCACTTGGACTACAGAGTGGATGGGTGGAAAATAGTCAAATGACAGCGTCAACTGTGTGGGATTGGAAACACGCAGCTTGGAGAGGAAGACTGCACATGCCAAAACAGGGGACTTTTCGGGGATCGTGGTCAGCAAAGTACAACAATCAAGACCAATGGCTTCAGGTTTGTGAAATGACCATACTAGAGAGCTTAGGCAACGACGACGGAGACGGCCTCGAGAACGGCAGAAAAGCAATACATATGTAGTTTCAGATTAGCAAAACAACAACTTTGCACGTGCATAACGCTTTTTTGTAAATTTCTTTGCCGTCACTGCACAACTACGACGTGAAACGTTCTAATTTCACGTTTTATGGAGGAGTGAGCGCAAGACAAATATTTTCTCTTTCTTTTTGTGATCTTAGATACAGTCCTTCAAAATTCAACTCCTGAAGAAATTGCCAGCATTTGACAAATAAAAAGAGTTAGAATGAGAGCGATGAAGTTTGAAACAGCGCGAATTCTCTGTTTTGGTGACATTTTTGTTGCCGTTACCTTCGTCGTTGCTTAACCTCACTATTACTCAAATACTGAGGCATGGATCAACAACTATATTAATTGTAGGTGTTCCGGCCTACTGTTAACGCACCATTATAGCACTGTTACAACACGAAACTTTCATTTTTCCTAGGTGTCTTTTAATCGCCCAATGAAGTTCACAGCCATTGCTACACAAGGGCGTCAAGACTATTCTCAATGGGTTACTAGCTATAGCTTATCCTACAGCGAAGATGGCACAAAATACACAATTTACAGTGTTGGTGGACATCAAAAGGTTTGTATGACAATGTAAAAATACGGGCTGCTTGCCCGGCCTTTCATGAATTCACTGCAAGCCATCAATACTTAGTAAAGGAAGCTACACGAGTTCAATAAAACGACTGCTTTTCTTTCAAGTTAACCCCTGAGAAATTTTACAATGCCAGCTGAAAAAATGTCGAATTACTAACTTGGGTGTGAAAAAGCATATTTAACTAACTGTACTTTTCTATGATTGACCTAAAGGTCGCCTTAACGTTCATTCGTTTTGTTTGCTGACTTTAATGTTTTGATTTATTTAGCAGTAATTGAATACAGCAGAACATTTCAGCTAATGGCGGATATATAATACCCTCCGGCATCTGCATTAATCATTTTAAAATATATTTAAAATTTATCCAATCCTAAAAACGTGTTTACCTCTGAAATGTCCCGCACCTTCAAAACATTTGCCCTTCCCTCGGCATGTTCAGGATAAGAATTATGAAGAAGTCCAAGCTTATATTTTTAAGCCGTCGTCATTCGTAGAGTTCTATTTTCGTCTTTTCTTGCTATGCTTTTGTGTCTGTAGTTTGACTTGCTATTTCATCATACCCTAACGTGCAGGTGCAATCGGTCGCCATTCTCTCCAACCGCCTGAACTGTTGGCCCATTATGAACTATGTTCATTTTTTCCGCCGATATCAGCACGATAGGAGTCAAATGTGTTGAAATTGGCGAACATTTTTTTTAAGGGCCTGTTTACATGGAGGTGGGGGGACCCCAGGTAGGTGAGGTAACATATGGCGGGTCACCCCGCCTAACATGTAAACGTGATCACATTAAAATGAGATATTATTTGGACAGGCGGGCTACCTCACCTATCTGGGTGCCCCACATCCATGTAAACAGGCCCTAAAATTTGGTCAACGATAGCTGGGCGATTTTTGTTACCAAACTGAACGGGGGCAGTAACTTTGAATGCAGTATTATGATATTAAACGAGATTTTTTAACGATACCAGGATTTTTGTGCCATACTACTACATGAAAAATTTCTGCAATTTGATAGGCTTAGAGTAGTGTTATTTCAGCTCAATTTGAAATACCTACAAGTGAAAATTACAAACCTTTTGCAAGTAGTAGTATAAACAAATAATAGCATGATTTGTACGTGATATTTTGCAAGTAAATATGACTCGTGATATTTCAAAATTGTCCCACATTTTACTCGCCTTATACTACTACATGAGAAATTTCTACATAAGAGCAGTGGTATTTCAGCTTAATTTGAAATACATACATGTGAAAATTACAAAATTGTTGCCGGTAGTAGTATAAATAAATAATAGCATGATTCGTACGCGGTATTTGGCATAAATACCACTCGTGATATTTCAAAATTGTCTCAAATTACGTATAAAAATTTCGAAATATCACTCGTGGTATTTATGCCAAATATCACTACAAATCATGCTATTACCTATACTAATATCTATATACATTTTTAGGTTTTCAGTGCAAACAGGGACAGAAATTCAGTAGTTAAACACAGTATTACACCAAATATTGAAGCTCGATGTTTGCGACTTCATCCAAAAACCTGGCAGGCAGGAATTTCAATGAGAATGGAGCTTTACGGTTGTTTAAAGGGTAAGAAGTACACATTAAGTTAGGAAATACACGGTAAATGATAAATCCAATGATGTAAGTTACGCCGAACGTTTTATGATAAGACGAACCAAATTGCCATTGGGGTCGACTTTATTTTGAAAAAAAAATTTTCAGCCCCTCGGGGCCTCAGTTTGGTCTAAGAATAAAGTGGGGGATGGGCGGGTCCCCGGGCACTTCCCCTGGATCTTCCACTGAGTTCGACTGCTGGATTAAACGTCCAACTTATTTCCTGAGCTTCGAGCTAAGTTAAGAAAAAACAAACGGTAGAACCCGGTTAAAACGACAGTTTTTGTTCGTTCGTTTGGTTCTCCCGACGAACTACTTGTTTTTGTTGTTGTTGTTGTTAATTTAACTGCGATAGCTCTACACAGTCTGTTCGTTTGGAGTGGACAGATAAAAAAGTGTTTGTCTATCCAAACTCAGTCATACAAACGTAATCTGAGACAGTCGTTGAACCTATCAAAAACGTCACTCTCTCAGTTTGGTTCGTTGCATCAAAACGTTAATTCGACGCTTTGCCTTGGCCTAATTTTGATTTGCGGCAGGAAAGAAGTAGCTACTCGTCTGCACTGGGAACGAGGATACGTAAGACACAGATTATTTTAAAATGAGTGACACATACGTTTCCAAAAAATTGTGGAACATTCTGTTACAAACGTTATTGACTATGAGCTATCTTGCAAGGCTCAACTGGATGGTCCTGTTCAAACTCATGTGGATTGAAACTGTTTTCTAGGTAAAGAGTCGCTCCATGCAAGGTAATCCGATGACAGTCTTGGATTCCGGATTGCGGGTACTGGACTCCGGACTCCAACCGTTCGCCGCATTCTGGATCACCTGGATCCGAATTGCGTTTTCCAAAGTCCAGGATTTTGGATTCCACAAGAAAGAATTCTCGGATTCCGGAATCCGGAATACCTTTTATTGGAGCAAAAAGTTTTATTTTAGCTTTAAAAGAGTTGTTCTCTGCAACCTACAAAACTGTTAATACAAATGTGACACTTTTTCAGCATGCAAAGTAGACGTTGGTATTCTGATGGACGAGTCTGGCAGTGTGAGCAAGGCTGATTTTGAACAACAGAAGAACTTCGTAAAAGCCTTGGCTGGTCACTTTCAATTTGGTCCCAGCGCTTCCCAATTTGGTGTTATTACTTTCAGCACAAACGCAAAGCTGGATATTACACTTAACAGATACAAAGACGCTGCCTCCTTTCAAAGAGGGGTAAATACCATCTCTCATGAAGGTATATTATATGAAATTACTTGTATATAGTGCCACCTCTCATTCATTTCAAATTTAGCTCTGTCTCAAGCGTAAAGATTTACAAAGTTGAACCAAAATCCACAGCCATAAAGTTTAAGAAGAAGGCAAATGAGACGAGTATAAGCGTTGGTTATCATTGTCTTAAAAAATATGTGTCTGGAGAGATTATCATTGTACGCATTAAGGCAAAGTTTCCCTTTTTTCTTAGTCATGTTAAGGCCCTGAGAACTTGTGTGGTCCTCGGAATCGAACCTGTAACATCTCGTTCTGCATTCCAGCGTTATGAGCTAAACCTGCCCTTCAGTGGAAGTGTAAACTACAGGTTCCCTTGCCCATCTTTAGAATAACAAATAAACTTCATTTCCCGTTTACAAGTTTTTTGGTTGATTACGCTGGACAAAACAAGTCTAATTAAACTTTTTTTTTGCAGGTGGTTGGACATACACTGGCAAAGCCTTAAATCTAGCCTACAAACAGCTGTTCACGGCGGCCAAGGGTGCACGTGCAAAGGTAGCCAAGGTAAATCACCACACTTGCATGGTCAGACCATTGCACCGCTGGCATGGTCTGAACATTGCACCACTTTCATGGTCTGACCACTGCACCTCTAATGCATGGTCTGATCACAGCACTGTGTTGATGATCTGTCCATTGCACCACTTGTATGATCTGACCATTGTATCACTTGTATGGTCTGACCACTGCACCTCTAATGGATGGTCTGACCACAGCACTGTGTTGATGATCTGTCCATTGCACCACTTGTATGATCTGACCATTGCATCACTTGTATGGTCTGACCACTGCACCTCTTATGTATGGTCTGATCACTGCACCGCTTGTATAGTCTGACCACCGCACCGCATTTATGATCTCACCATTGTACCACTTGTATGGCCTGACCATTGCACCACTTTTATGACCTGACCACCGCACCTCATGTGTGTTCTGACCAATGCACCACTTATATCGCATGACCACCGCATCACTTGTATTGTCTGACCATTGAATCACTTGAGCCATTCCTCAGCACACCGAGTTTTAATGAAGCCAAATCGCATTTAAAGGTATTTTAACTTAAACAGACGTCAACAGAATACTTAAAGAAAAATTTACTAACAGAACCATATATGTTTATCTAATAGGTTTTGATCATTGTCACAGATGGACAGAGCACTGGCGGAATGCAAACTCTAAAAGCACCGATAAAGCTGCTTAAGGATTCTTCGGTGAATATCATCTCCATTGGTGTCGGAAGCAAAACAAATCAGAATGAGCTAAAATTCATGGCCTCGTCGCCTGACAACACCCACGTGTTCTCAGTCCAAAATATGAATCAGTTGCAGACTCTGATTAGCTCGATTACGGCTTCGTCCTGCACAAGTAAGCTGGTTGTGGGATAACGCACATGACCCCATAAACGTAGTGCATAGGCAGTATCAGAAAATAACTTGTTACTACCTACAAAAATGCCTTTTTAGCACAGCTCAGACTTCATATGCCCTTTCTTGTTAGTATAAGATGGATGGTTGGTTTGCTAACTCGAAGTGCCCTGCCCTAAAAAAAGCAACCGATTAATAACCGAAATTCGCTGGTCACATCAAATGCTTTGGGTCCAACGCCATGCCAGTAAACTAAGAAATGCAGTGTAAAAGAAAGTAACTAGGAGAATGTTCAACAAAAAAATAATAAACAAAAGTGCGTCTTGTGGTTTGGGTTCCCCTACAGCCGTTTCGGGCCTGGCCCTTCATCAGTGGAGTTACAAGTAAAAGAAAGGAAGTGGACTCTTACTTACTCTTTCCAATGCGTGATATGCGATATACCTGGCGATGTATACCTGAAAATTTGAAGTTAAGTCCATACGTTATATTTTCTTACTTTTCTGTTTGTTTGTTTGTTTGTTTGTTTGTATAGAGCAACAATGGTGGAACAATGTAATAACAATTTGAAACATTTCTCAAAATATCTGTTGCCCTTGAAAATCACCGTTGTGAATTTTTCCTGTGTAATATCGCCCGTACAATGTTTATCACTAATTTTGTCGATGTTCGTATTCCTGATGTCCTGCTCGTTCAAATACCCGATTGCTCCCATTTTCTTTGTGTAAAGTACAAACAGCAGCAGAAAAATCAGCCGATAAATAGCATGTCGCATGTTATTAATAGCTCTCTTAAACAAGATACAATCTGCAATACCCGTGCCTAAGTCAAATCATGTTGATGTCTTCATAGCATACAATTGTCGCTTCGTGACGTGTGACTATAGTAAATGGAGTGCTTGGTCTGCCACATGTGGTACAGGAATGAGACGCGCGCGGAACCTGGTAAAGGTCAATGAGCATTATATCAAAAAGCAGGGTGGCTGCTCAGGGCTTAAAGTCACCTGCGACAGACAAGAAACAGAAACGAGAACAACTACAAACTGTAAGTTCAATATGTGTATAGGCATTCCTATTGTGGCTTGCTAAGGCGTTCAATAGGAATTTATGCAGTGGAGTAGACGTATATTTATAAGTGCTAGTAATATTAATATAATATTATGGAGTATTGTATTGCGCCCGAGTGGCTGCATAAATTTGGCTCTTGAATTTTATCCAATTTTTATCCTCCATTCGTCTTCTTAAAGAGTTTTATTATATCCACCTTATTCTTAACTACTTCAAGTTTGCGGGTATGTTGATGTATACGAGAAATTTCGTTTTTTCACTGCGGAATTGCAGGAAATCGATAAGCAAAGACCTCGGTCACGGACTAATGCAGCGGCCCTTGTCAAGGCAAGTATGGTTAACTCTTAAGAATCTCAACTTGCTCGCTCCGAGGAGAGGACAACGTGGGAGAAACCACCAAAGACGTCTAAACGATAGACCTATCATTGTTATTATTCGTGGAGAGCGTCAGCAAAACTTCCAAGAGAAACGGCGTGGTGCAAACCAAAGTAACTTATTAAATATTCCAGTCGACATCTTTGCACCGCTAAGACAACCTCTCATGGGACCTTACATTCAACAATCCATAGAAATAATTCTCAGAAATCAAAAGTAACTGTGGCACACTTAAACGTACGATCGTTGAAGACAAGAGAGCATTTGATTCAAGTGAGAAATTTAATGGATGAAAAGAAGTATGCAATCTTGGCAATTTCAGAATCTTGGCTAAATTCAAGTGTAAAGAATGCTGAGGTCGAAAGTGACGGATACAGTTTGTCAAGACTGGACAGGCCGAGAAACATGAAGAATGAGTTTGGTGGTGGGGTGTCCGCGTACATGCGCAAGACCTTGAAGTCTAAGGTACTTAAAGACCTATCCGGAATATCAGACACCGGTTTTCACCAATTATGGATGCAAGTTCAGCACAAAACGCTCAAGTCATTTTTGCTGTGCGTCACTTACAAGCCTCCTGATTGTAATGTTGCCTGCTTTGAAGATTTCAGGGACCGCTATACGCAAGCGCTTCAACACCCACGTGTTCTCAGTCCAAAATATGAATCAGTTGCAGACTCTGATTAGCTCGATTACGGCTTCGTCCTGCACAAGTAAGCTGGTTGTGGGATAACGCACATGACCCCATAAAAGTAGTGCATAGGCAGTATCAGAAAATAATTAACTTGTTATTACCTACAAAAATGCCTTCTTAGCACAGCTCAGACTTCAAATGCCCTTTCTTGTTAGTATAAGATGGATGGTTGGTTTGCTCATTCGAAGTGCCCTGCCCTAAAAAAAGCAACCGATTAATAACCGAATTTCGCCGGTAACATCAAATACTTTGGGTCCAACGCCATGCCAGTAAACTAAGAAATACAGTGTAAAAGAAAGTAAGTAAGAGAATGTTCAAAAAAAAAATAAATAAATAAAAGTGCGTCTTGTGGTTTGGGTTCCCCTCCAGCCGTTTCGGGCCTGGCCCTTTATCAGTGGAGGTACAAGTAAAAGAAAGGAGGTGGACTCTTACTTACTCTTTCCAATGCGTGATATGCTATATACCTGGCGATGTATACCTGAAAATTTGAAGTTAAGTTCATACGTTATATTTTCTTACTTTTCTGTTTGTTTGTTTGTCTGTTTGTATAGGGCAACAATGTTGGAACAATGTAATAACAATTTGACACATTTGTCAAAATATCTGTTGCCCTTGAAAATCACCGTTGTGGATTTTTTCCTGTGTAATATCGCCCTTAAGATTTTTATCACTAATTTTGCCGATGTTCTTATTCCTGATGTCCTGCTCGTTCAAATACCCGATTATTCCCATTTTCTTTGTGTAAAGTACAGACAGCAGCAGAAAAATCAGCCGATAAATAGCATGTCGCATTTTATTAATGGCTCTCTTAAAGAAGATACAATCTGAAATACCCGTGCCTAAGTCAAATCATGTTGATGCCTTCATAGCATACAATTGTCGCTTTGTTACGTGTGACTATGGTCAATGGAGTGCTTGGTCTGCCACATGTGGCACAGGAATGACACGCGCGCGGAACCTGGTAAAGGTCAATGAGCATTATATCAAAAAGCAGGGTGGCTGCTCAGGGCTTAAAGTCACCTGCGACAGACAAGAAACAGAAACGAGAACAACTACAAACTGTAAGTTCAACATTTTTATAGGCGTTCCCATTGTGGTTTGCTAAGGCGTTCAATGGGAATTTATGCAGTGGGGTAGACGTGTATTTATAAGTGCTAGTAATATTCTGATTAGGAACGTTCGGAGTTTTTATTTATTTATTTTTTCTCTCTCTGACATTCTTCACCACGCGAGTAAAATTGAAAGCGTGACAGACTTGTATTCAGATCTTTGCTTTTCCGTTCCTGTACTTGATGGCACCCGTTTGAGATATTGGTCTCTACCTTTCCCATTTCACTTTTCTACTTCGGATCCTAACCTTATAAACCTAAAAGAGAATCCGAATCAACGCAAGGTTGTGGATGAGATTGGGGATGGATGGTTAACGTTTTGGTTAGTGATCACTAATCTTTTCCTAAAGAAAATAAAAAACAAGGAAGTTTTCAGCATCAAATTTATCGTATATTTTCAGTTGAAAAAGAAGTTTAGGACAGCCTACACTGTCAAATCGTGAAGGAAGGTTGTTTCCATTTCTTTTTGTGAAGCGTGCAGTTAAATTGATGCAGTTGTCATTTGACCTCATCTACGGCCTGATAAAATGTTTAGTGGGTTCAGTAGAGGGTAGGTAAAGGCGCACTCGAGCCAAAGGCCCAAACGGCCGGATCTCGAGCTTATCCCGGTTTCGGTAGCATGCAGCACCTAGGAGTATTGCTACTCCCCCCTGGACTGGATGCTAATCCATCGCACGGTTACTCCCCAGCAGTATGTCGCCGGTATCCATTTATACACCTGGGTGAAGAGAGACAAAGTGGAGTAAAGTTCCTTGTCTAAGGAAACAACGCGACGGGCGAGGCTCGAACCCCGGACCTCCAGATCCGGAGTTCGAGGTGTGAACCACTCGGCCACACACGCCTTTGCGTTCAATAAAATTGATAATAAAAGAAAGTCCACATAATATAAAAAAAAAGATGAATAATTTTCAGTGTTTAACGCATCAACAAGTCCTTGCATCAGCATGACATGTTCTTGGTACCCATGGAGCAGCTGGTCTTCAACATGTGGACGAATAACGCGTCAGCGCATCAGCAAAGCCACTCAATCCATCGTTAACCGCCCGAACTGTAACGGTCTGCAAACTTCCTGTCCTAAACCTGAAGTGGAATCCTCTTATATCTCCTGTATGTACAGCTGTATATAAATTCATGGTGTCTTATTCATTTTTAGGTTTTCAGTGCAAACAGGGACAGAAATTCAGTAGTTAAACACAGTATTACACCAAATATTGAAGCTCGATGTTTGCGACTTCATCCAAAAACCTGGCAGGCAGGAATTTCAATGAGAATGGAACTTTACGGTTGTTTAAAGGGTAAGAAGTACACAATAGGTTAGGAAATACACGGTAAATGATAAAGCCAATGATACAAGTTACGCCGAACGTTTTATGATAAGACGAACCAAATTGCCATTGGGGTCGACCTTATTTTGAAAAAAAAATTTCAGCCCTTCGGGGCCTCAGTTTGGTCTAAAAATAAGGTGGGGGAGGGGCGGGCCCCCGCGCCCCCGGTCTCCCCCCCCTGGATCTGCCACTGAGTTCGACTGCTGGATTAAACGTCCAACTTATTCCCTAAGCTTCGAGCCAAGTTGAGGAAAAAAAAAACGGTAGAACCCGTTTAAAACGACAGTTTTCGTTCGTTCGTTTGGTTCTCCCGACGAACTACTTGTTTTGTTTTGTTTTGTTTTGTTTTTTTAATTAAACTGCGATAGCTCTACACAGTCTGTTCGTTTGGAGTGGACAGATAAAAAAGTGTTTGTCTATCCAAACTCAGTGATACAAACGTAATCTAAGACAGTCGTTGAACCTCACTCTCTCAGTTTGGTTCGCTGCATCAAAACGTTAATTCGACGCTTTGCTATGGCCTAATTTTGATTTGCGGCAGGAAAGAAGTAGCTACTCGTCTGTACTGGGAACGAGGATACGTAAGACACAGATTATTTTAAAATGAGTGACACATACGTTTCCAAAAACCTGTGGAACATTCTGTTACAAACGTTATTGACTATGAGCTATCTTGCAAGGCTCGACCGGATGGTCCTGTTCAAACTCACGTGGATTGAAACTGTTTTCTAGGTAAAGAGTCGCTCCATGCAAGGTAATCCGGTGACAGTCTTCGATTTCGGATTGCAGTTACTGGACTCCGGACTCCAACCGTTAGCCGGATTCTGGATCACCTGGATCCGAATTGCGTTTTTCAAAGTCCAGGATTTTGGATTCCACAAGAAACAATTTTCTGATTCCGGAATCCGGAATACCTTTTATTGGAGCGAAAAGTTTTATTTTAGCTTTAAAAGATTTCTTCTCTGCAACCTACAAAACTGTTAATACAAATGTGACACTTTTTCAGCTTGCAAGGTAGACGTTGGTATTCTGATGGACGAGTCTGGCAGTGTGAGCAAGGCTGATTTTGAACAACAGAAGAACTTCGTAAAAGCCTTGGCTGGTCACTTTCAATTTGGTCCCAGCGCTTCTCAATTTGGTGTTATTACTTTCAGCACAAACGCAAAGCTGGATATTACACTTAACAGATACAAAGACGCTGCCTCCTTTCAAAGAGGGGTAAATACCATCTCTCACGAAGGTATATTATATGAAATTACTTGTATATACTGCCACCTCTCATTCATTTCAAATTTAGCTCTGTCTCAAGCGTAAAGATTTACAAAGTTGAAGCAAAATCCACAGCCATCAAGTTTTAGAAGAAGGCAAATGACACGAGATAAGCGTTGGTTATCATTGTCTCAAAAATATGTATCTGGAGAGATTATCATTCTACGCATTAAGGCAAAGGTTCCGTTTTTTCTTAGTCATGTTAAGGCCCTGAGAACTTGTATGGTCCTCGGATCGAACCTGTAACATCTCGTTTTGCAGTCCAGTGTTATGAGCTAAACCTGCCCTTCAGTGGAAGCGTAAACTACAGGTTCCCTTGCCCATCTTTAGAATAACAAATAAACTTCATTTCCCGTTTACAAGTTTTTTGGTTGATTACGCTGGACAAAACAAGTCTAATTACAAAATTTTTTTGCAGGTGGTTGGACATACACTGGCAAAGCCTTAAATTTAGCCTACAAGCAGCTATTCACGGCGGCCAAGGGTGCACGTGCAAAGGTAGCCAAGGTAAATCACCACACTTGTTTGGTCAGATCATTGCACCGCTGGCATGGTCTGAACATTGCACCACTTTTGTGGTCTGACCACTGCACCTCTAATGCATGGTCTGATCACAGCACTGTGTTGATGATCTGTCATTGCACCACTTATATGATCTGACCATTGCACCTCTCAGGTATAGTCTGACCACTGCACCGCTTGTATAGTCTGACCACTGCACCGCATTTATGATCTGACCATTGTACCACTTGTATGGCCTGACCATTGCACCACTTTTATGGTCTGACCACCGCACCGCATGTGTGGTCTGACCAATGCACCACTAATATCGCATGACCACCGCATCACTTGTATTGTCTGACCATTGAATCACTTGACCATTCCTCAGCACACCGAGTTTTAATGAAGCCAAATCGCATTTAAAGGTATTTTAACTTAAACAGACGTAAACAGAATAGCTAAAGAAAAATTTACTAACAGAACCATATATGCTTATCTAATAGGTTTTGATCATTATCACAGATGGACAGAGCACTGGCGGAATGCAAACTCTAAAAGCACCGATAAAGCTGCTTAAGGATTCTTCGGTGAATATCATCTCCATTGGTGTCGGAAGCAAAACAAATCA